AAAAATTGATTCCTTGTATCTGTAAGAAAAACTTAAGTTCCTGGGCAAGATCAGTAAACTCAGTATAGTGTTATGTGGGTGCTGCACTTTGCCCTTGAAACCCACACAGTAACTGGTGTAGGTTTAGGGAATGTGACTTGAGAGGTAAGTGGTGAAGTGGAAAATGCAGAGTGTAGAGCCTCCTCACTTCTCACTCAGCAAATAGGGATTCATTCCATGGGCAAAATAATAATAATTGCTAAAAAAAATTTACAAGTCCTGTTAGAATATTTGGGGCTAAGCAAACTGCGGAAATGATGAGTTTCTACGTTTGGGACTAGGGGGGATCAGCTCTAAGGAATATTGCTATCCTTTCCAACAGTGTCTCAACACTGACAGGATGTTTATGAGATCCAAGGAGTATCCTATCCATCATGCTAGCCAGCCCTGTGGATTAGTTTAGAATATCACCTCTTTCCCCAAACATTTGTCTGCTTTGTGTTAACAGAATCCTTTCCTCCTCCTGTTCAGCCACACCTTGTCCTTCTTATGGTCAAAGAATGAAAAAACCCAGGATTTATGGTCCCCACACCTTAGATTTATCTTACTATAGCCAAGCTTACAAAAGAGGAAGCTTTTTATGGTAAATAATGCTATTCTGGATATGGTTAATTTTGTGTCCTCACTTTTTGGGTACTCCAGGTGAATCAAAAGGTGCTTTTTTTTTTCAGTGATCCAAATTATATAGTAGCACATGAATCACTGTTGAAAAGTCATTTAACTACTGCACTTCACCTGCTTCTCACTTGTGGTCATTGATTATGTCCTGAAGTATATGAAGTGTTCTTTCTGGTTTTGTGAGTGGTATGTATTCAGAGCAATTGTAATACTTTAAGAACCCTTAAATAAGTGAGATTTTGATTTTAATTTTTGAAGGCTGTTCAGAAGTTTTCAAATTAAAATTTTAGTGTCTTTAAATTTAGTTCCTTAACCTTCTAGCTCTCCTAGTTGAATCTTCACAGATTTCATGGCTACTAAATCTTTCAAAAGAGAATAATTCTTGATTCTCATGCTAGTGAGAGTATAGGCATGCATATATTTGCAACCATATGAATGCTAGAATGTCATGTTTGTTTGTGTTTGCTGGTTGGGATTGGTTTTCACTGTTTTTGAACTGCTTAAAAATTGATGAAGATTAACAGAGGTCCAGAGAGTGACAGGGGAATGTTTTGTGTTTGATGCTGGTGATCTTAAAAAGCTAACAGGGTTATGGGAAAATGGATTTTTTAGAGGAGTGTAAGAAATGTGAGAGACTGAAAAAAGCTTTTCGAAAGGCAGAGAGAATTTTCTTCACCTTCTGCACAGCTGCCAAAGCATAAGGCTTAAAAATGTTGTTTGTTACAATTCCTCTGACTCCTTGCTGCATGTACTCCAGCCATCCTTCCCTCACACTTCATCTGTCTCAGTTCATCTGTAAACTGTAGTGACCTGTGAGAGCAGAGCTAGCAAAGAGATTGGTAAGGTGGTAAATAACAACGAGCCTGAGTCCCTGAGACAGAACTTGATTGCTTGATGAATTATGAGCAATCAAGCGTGTTTTTTTCCAGCTAAATGCAAGGTTATGCAAATAAGGTGAAAGACTGTAATTCTGGTTTGTATGACAGAGGGTTGTGCTGGGTTGCTGTGTCCTAGTCCAGACCCCTTACTTCAGAAAGGCAGCTGGAAAAGTGGAGAGGGCTCAGACCGATTCCAGGGTTTGAAAAATGCGCATTGCAGCAGAAACTGAGGAGCTCCATCTATTTAATTTATCAGCAATGAAGTAACGAGACAAGTTCATCATACTGTGTGAGTACCCAGACAAGGACAAGATACCTATAAGGGAGGGATTTTATAGAGCTATATTTCTGTGACTGAATGATGAACTCAGCAGAGTTCAAACTGGTAACAAAGTGCATGTGTGTACTGTTAAGGTAATTAGTCTTTCTGAGAGATAAGTGTCTGTTCAAGCACTCTTTACATCCAGGTCTCAGAGTGCCATGGTCATGGACAGAGTGTTGTGCTGTGTCTTATACAGGAGTTGAGAGCAACTGCAGAGCTTGTAGGTTTTTGAATCTGAGTCTGCAAGGGGTTCAATGTCAGTAAAAAGGGTAAAGGCTATGGATATAGGCTAGGGACTCTGAAAGTGTATTTATCACGTACTTAAAAGTGCCATCACATGTCTTAATTTTAGCTCAGGATGCATCAGCTTCTCCCAGAAGGACTTCACATGTTGGCAGCATGTATTGGTGCATGAACTACCTGTTGTATTTGAAATAACTTTTCTTCTTGGGAACATTCTGATAATAAAAGATATTTAAACAGATAAGGGAACGGTCAATATGCCATAAAAAAGGAGTGGTTATCACTTCATATGTGTATGCTTTAAGTTTTTTTGAGCAATGTTTTTCCAAGACCTTTGAGGATTTGTTGTATGGTATGGGGTTCTGTTGGTTCTGTTTTCAGCTTTGCCATTAGCAAAGACTGGGAAAAGTCAGCAAATGGCTCTCAGAAGCTCTGTTTCTCTAATTGTAGCTTTGCTCCAAGAACAAGCAGTAAGTTTCCAAGGTGCTTGATTATACTGAGCCACTGTGTGAAGTCTGTGAGCTGTATAGAACATGACACCATTATGCTCCTGCAGTGGGGTGCCTGTCCTGCTATCCAGCTTCCTTCATGGAATGAGGAAAAAGCAGCTCTATGCTGATCTAAATTGGAAGAGACCCTAGAATTATTAGGTCCTTTCAAAACCCCAAATCAATAATTTGGCATATTCCTTGAAAGAATCTCAAAACATCTCACAGTCCTCATGAGGAAGATATTATTACTCAGTTACAGAGTGGTAGGAGCCAAATGCACAGGAGTGGCAAAAAGCAAAAGGACTTTTGAGAAGATACTAAATGTAGCTGATCACTTCTTGACCCTAGTTCCTTGTCCTCTATTTTGTTCAAAGCATGTCTTCATCGTGGGAAAAAAGGATAGATGAATAGTCTTGTTTAGCCTCTTTCTTTTTCCTAGTTAGAGAGTACACATATGTTATTTTGAGTTTTCAACCCATTTTCGGTGAAAGCAAGCACTTAATGGCAATACATATGTATTGTGGTTTTTATTGTTATGGAGAATGAATAAGTTTATCTTGTTCCTAAGGTTTTGTATTTTTGATACTCCTCTATCTGTGACCGAAAAAGGGCAGGAGATGGACAACATCAAAATGTATTTTGCAATTTTTAAGTAGTAAGGATATCATTTCTGTAGAAAATTATCAAAATAATTAATATTAAAGCCAATATTGGGCAGTCTTTTAAAAGCATCTCAGTTCTTTTGTTCTCATTCTTTTTCTTGTTAGAATGTTTTTAATGTGAATGTAAACAAGGCAGAGAAGAGAGATACTACAAAATTCTTACATTTTTAAAAGCATTTGGATTTATTCTGGATTTAAAGTTCAGTCAAAGTAGATGTTTGTCTAAGAACATTGTGGAAGCATTGTTACCTAATCAGAAATATTTTAGTATACTATTCAGAGTTTTGGCAACGCGAGCATTACAGAGATGGTTTGCATAGCATAGATTATGCAGACTGTCATGCTCTCCCTTGAGTTTTATGTATGCTTTTTATTCTTCTCACTTGGACAAACTCTGCCTGGGCAGAGTGCCTGTGTTGCAGCAGAGCAGGAGCTGTGCCGGTCACGCTTAACCCTGCATTGTGCCTCTAGGGACAGTCAGGAGTAAATGAATGTTGTCAATTGTCAGAGGAAGACTGGAGCAAGCAGACAGGAACAGGGTGAGGCAGTAGCATGTGAGGTCAGTGGCTGTGACCATGTGCTGTAGTCACCCTCAATACACCACCTCACAGAGTGATGTACTGACATCTGAGAGTCAGTCTTCTTATCTTGCTGCTGCCAAGTGTATTCCCTCTGATGCAAGACTTTCTGGTCCGGTGTATGAAGGAATAAGCAAGATACTGTGCATCCTAGATGGAATTCGTAAGCGGGAACAGTGCAGATACACTTCAGATGAAATGGACTGCAGTATTTTAGAGGATATGGTTGGGACATTTTCTGGTGTAAAGCAGCATAACCTAGAAGGCACCAAAGTGTTGCAAAGGATAGTGGATAATTTGCTGGTCTTTATTGTAAGGTCCATGTGTTACGACTTCTGTGTTATACTCTAAATTAACAGCTTTGTTAACACTCCTAAACTTGCAGAAGTGCACAATATAACTAGCTAATCTTATTTAATGCCCTATATCTTTAAACAGGAATTTTTTTTCCCCTGTGAATTTTGAACTATATATTATCTTGAGTTATGTATAAAACACCACTGAAAATACCCAGGACTTTATTTAATATAAATGGATTTTGAAATACAAAACACAGAGGAAAAATATGCTTTGTCTATGTAAGAAAAAGTAGAATCTGTCCATGTGGCATCTGATGTTTTCCCATAAAAAAAAAAAGCACTCGTGTGTATTACAGGTTTTGACATTCTGTGTTGCCTAGAGCTGTGTTAATCCTAACCTTATTATACTCTAGAAGTTACAGTGAAAGTGGTTTTCAAATACTTAAGTTCAGATACACATATTACAAGTATTTTTCATTTTAAAGTTATGAAACAAAAAAGGTCTTATGAGAAAAACTCTCGATTTGGAAATGCATTGTGACATTTTAATACTGTTGTGTGAAAGGAAAAGCTAGAAGTCTTTTTTTCTTCTTGGATTTTGAAATACTCCTTTTAAAGGACACTAATTGAACTCTGCTTTTTCATTCCATTTCAGGTTTTTCTTCTGTAATCATGGCAAAACCTTATGAATTTAACTGGCAGAAGCCAGTTCCCTCTTTTATGCAAGATGGAGCTGTGTTTGATAGATATGAAGAGGTAAGTGGCCAGTTGCATTTCATTTCCTATTCTCTTCTAAATATGCAGATGTTATAGAATATTTCATGTTTGGCTTTCATGGCACACAAAGAAACTTTCATTTTATCTGGTAATACCTCCAGAAATGTCTGTGGGGAGGCAGTACCAGCACACTTTATTGCTATACAGTTTTTTGCTTTTAAAAGAAATAGCTTTTAAATATATTTAATCCCTCTGATTTGAAATAAGCCCCAAGGAAGAGAAAGGGAGAATTGGATCAAAATATCTGTAACGTGCATAAAGCCCTCGTTTTTGCAGATTCATAAAGCACATTATTGAACAAAGTGAATCCTTCCATTTTTTGTCCATCTATCAAATGGAGTGGGGGGAGTATTGCTTTCTTTTTAATATATAAACTGAGGACCTGCATCTCATAAGGGGAAGTAAGAGAGCACAGAACATTTCTATTCTGATTCAAATGCATCATTTGAGATCTGGAGTGGTTTTATCTACTTTAGAAAATCAATCTGTACTCTGTCTGAAATATGATTACTATGATCCTCCTTTCAGCTGTGCTTTAATCCAAATGTATTAAAGGAATGCAAACCAGGGCATTTTACACAGCTGAAATTAAGTGCTGAGACATTTACCTTATATTCAGCATTGATGTGTCAATGAGAATCATTTTATCAGGGTCTATTTTTAATCTTGTTTGGACAGGAAATCTCTATAAGTTGAAGGTATCTTGGTAAGTGCCTTCAGGGATATTAGTATTTTCTTCTTATCTTTTGAAATGTAAGTAAAAGGTATTTTTTATCATGAGGCCTGCCAAGATAGGGGTAGTTGGTTTGCCCTGTATTTTCAATTTTGTGGCTAGATAAGCTAAAAACACACCGGTGAACATGGAATTCCTTAGAAAGGAGGCTCAGCTAAGCTTTATTTTTCTTCAGCAAGTATTGCTATAGAAACAGCCTGTGAGGATGTAAGTGAGGGGCATGGTCCATGGTTGTTCTCCTGCGCCTTTGATGAGAAACAGAAAATGGAGAGATACAGAAAAGAGTTTAAAGTGCTTAAATTTTGGTGTGATATCAAAAAAGCTGGGTGAGGCACCTGGCCCCAAGATGTAGCGATAGGGAGAATCTCAAAAAGGAATAGTTTTGCACTGTAGGTCGGTGTTCCAGCAGGCACCTGTGCAGGACTAGACAGTGCTGGGCAGATGTGAGCCGAGATGGTAGCACTAGAGGACTTGCTCTCTTGCTCCTTGCAGCTGAATTTTGCAGCCTTCCAAAACCCTGTAGAAAGGCAGTCCTGCTTGCCACTCATGGAGCAAAGTGTTTGTCCATCCATGTGATCACCTCTAGCTGCATTGTTGCTGCAAGTTTTGCTGCAGTTCACTCCAGGTTTGCTGTGGTACAGTTGGGAGCCTGGTTGGTTTCCTTGGAGAGGACTTCAGCACACATGCTTGTCAGTTTTCAATTAAGGAAATCAGGAAGTTCTGGATCCTTTTTTTTCTTGAAGAAGTGATTGATTCTGCACGCTGTTTTCCTGCATTTTAGCTTAATTTATGATGCACTAATTGAGGCTGGAGGTGTGTGGAGGAAATTTCTTTTTAAATTGAGCTAATCTGATTTTTTGCCTTGTCTAGTTTCTTTGGAATGCCAGTCTTTCCTGATTTCTTCTGCAAATCAATATCCTTCAAACTCTGTTTCTCAGAGACAAAATGCTCTCAGCATGCATACTGCCATAGTCGGACAGAAAAGTGCTCCCTGGATTCTGAACATTAAAATGAAATGTCATTTGATCCTGAAGATAGTATTGGCAAATTATATATCTTTCCACTTTACATGGTTTGAAGCATTTAATTTTCAACAGATTTTTTTAAAGTTCTATTTTATTAAGTTTTCTTAATTAGGTAAGAACCACTGTTGTTATTAAATAAAACATCTTCATAGTTACAATGATG